GACACCACGGTACATGGCCCGACTGCGGCCGTCGAGCACGGCTGCAACCCAGGAGCAACTGTGCAAAGTCTGCTTCCAAAACATTTACTTGGACATCCCACCACTCACCTGGCCCCTCTCACTTTAACGGTTCCTGGAAAATGATGGTTTCCATAATAACCAGCCCAATTCCCAGACCAGCATCTCACATTTCAGCCCTCACCCTGGGCATCTGCCCTTGGCAGCTCTCCACTTCATCCACCTCAAGACGCAAATCCCGCTGGCTCTATTCTCTTGCCTCATTCCCAGACAGTACGTGGCTCTTTCATCATTATGCAGTCAATTAAGCTTTGGCTACCTTATCTTAACAGCTCCAAATAAGCCGGTCATCTTCCCGAAAGGTGATACGTTATAATTGGTTCCAATCCGGCAAGAAAGAGAATAGTGAAATAGGAGACTGGGAGGTTATTTGAATTAGCCCTGAAGTTAAAAATGGCCAAAAAACCCCCCAAACCCCCCCACCTAGTTATTGGGGTGTTTGCTTAGATCTTCCAGTACTGGTCAGGTTTGTACCATCTGTTCCAGCTGGTGTTACTCCCCAGGAAAGACGACTTGGGGTCTTTTGTTCTAGAGATCCTACAGGTAACAGCGATGCTGCCGGCTCCCAAATGCGGGCGCTGAAGGAGATGCACTGTGCTCACTAGCACAGAGCCGCAGCAGGGCAGAGGGCAATGGGTGCAGAAGCCTGGTACAGGGCACATTTCGGGTGCCCAGGCTCTATAGGTGTCCTTGTTTATATATAAGTATATATACACACACACCCCTCAACGATTTTTCAGTCTACAGCTCAGACAGGCCCGGGCAAGCTCAAAGCCAACGACTCTCACTTCCTCCCAGCTGGGACTGGGGAACATCACAGCATGATTCTTGCATTGCTCTGATCCTTGTTTTCATCCCTGTGAGGGAAGTGATAAACACCTAAGCAGCCATGAGAGCCAGGTTTGGATAAATGTTCCAATTACGAGGCTTTTAGATGGGTGGGCAGCGCTTACACCCCCTTCCATCCACATTTCAAAAGCCCCTGAAGGAATGCAACTCCCCCCCGAGCTCTTGCAGAGAGTGAGAGAGGCATCTCCTCGCAGGGAGGGGTTTGGGGCTCTCCTCCCCAGGCAGAACACCCCTGCCCTGCTGCTGCCTGCTGACACCCATGAGTGGTGCAGACCAGGAGACCCCATGGCAGGAGCCAGCCCAGCTCCCACCCCAGGGCACCAGCACCCAACGCCGGTGCCAGCTCTAAAGGGCCAAGCTCCGGGCGTTCCCCCAGGGACATGGCAACAGCAGCGTTACCTCCGACAGTTACTTGCCTAACAACTCAAATTATTTCCTTCCAGTCTGTTCTAAAATAAAAAAAAA